CTGTGCAGGGCTGGGAAAAGGCTGTGCACGATTTGCTCCTCACCCAGCCTGGTGCCAGCTGACAAGGACTGGAACAGCAGCCTCATTTCAATCAGCCCACACTGGAGCCAGCCTTGCCCTCCTGAGACCAGTTTGTCTGAAGCATGATTTCAGATACTGGACCTGAATTGGGAATAATTTTCTTTGCATCAGTTTTTTTTATCAGATTACTCTCTCCTTGGGGGTGAGAAGCAGTGAAGGTGAGCTGAGACAGCAGCCCCAGGACTATTTGCCAGCCAACAGCCCCTGCTGTTTGTGCAGCCAGGAACAGAGGGAGGGATGATACAGCAGTCCTGGAGGAGAGAACGCTGGGTTTCCAAACACACTAAAGAATAAGAAGCAGATAAGAGGACAACTGCCAAGATTTAATTTTTTTGTTTTTGGCAGGACTCCAGCATCTGGAGTTGCAGGTCCTGAAGGTACAGGAACAGTTAAACTAAATGCTCTGACAGACTACTTAGAAAGGGTCAATAGACAGAGAGAAAGCCTGTCCCTCCAAATTAACTCCTGCTGGGGAAGGCTCAGCTCTACACGGTTTGGGAAGCAAGGGGGTAACCACTGAAAGGCACTGGAGAGGCTCACCAGAATGATTCCAGTCCCTTCCTTTCCACACAGAGACAGATAAAGAGGAAAGCCCATCCAGCCCTGCAGCAGCAGGCAGTGCCTGTATCCTGGTGACCTGTTTATCCTGCAGCTGGACAAACATTAGGAGGCAGACAGCATCACTGTGACTATTACTCTTATCGCAGCCGGCTTTGCTACAAGTAATCAACTTCCAGAATAAGATTTCCACTCTGTGTACAATGGCTCAGATGCAATCCTGAGCTCTGTTCGCCTTCAGTGCCTGCTGACAGAGCCTGGTTCCCTCTGGCACAGCATGGCATAGCCTCATCCATTACGTTGGCATGTATCAGTGGGGAGGGGGGTAGAAATAAAACTGCTCAAATTGCTAGTATCAGCTTCTGCTTTTAGAATTAGTATGTCACTTTGTACTTTGGCTCATTCTACTTCTTTTTAAAGTATACCTTTATCAGCTGCCTTATATTTCACCTCTAATTTACATAGACAAGAAAGTACCAGCTGACCAGTCAGCAGTTACTGTGGTTTCCTTACGCCAGCTGATAACAAATAATGAAAATACTGGTGGGGAAATGAGATATCGTCTCATACCTTATGGGGGAATGAGGTTTTTTTTTTTCTCTTAAGCAAGCCCCTGCTGTAAAGAAGAACCTGCTACCTGCACAATGCTGCACACAGGAACCACACTGCTAAAGTTGTGTGTTTCCCAGCTTTGTTCTGGGGCAGGCAGGTTCCTTCTACCCACACCAAGCACTGTGTGGCACATCTGCCCTGTTCCAGGAACTCCCACCCACATGGACTTTGTGTGGACAGACACGGAGTCAGCCCTCAGTCTCTGCAGCAGGAAAACTGCAGACAGGGATCAGCACGTCAGCTCCCAGAGCTAGGAAGCTGAATCAGACACCATTAAGAATAATGTCCCTTAGGCTCAGCATACACATCACCATCTCTAAAGGCAAAGGGCAAGCTGTTTATTTCTAATGAACAATAGCCAAGTCAGCTGCCAGCTCTAGCAAGATGTGAGACCTGGGGTTTCTTTGGAGACTTTGATATCAGTAACCTGGTGAAGCCTGAAAGCATCCATCCAAAGAAACAAACCCATGAGGGCTTCTGTGCCACCTCAGCCAGTCACCAGTGGCTCTCCAGCTTGCTGCTCCTTTATGTGGAGAAAAAACATTTGCTTTGAGGCCTTTCACACCCTGAGGTAGCTGGGGTGACTCTGAGGGGGTGCAAGCTTGTACTCTATATCCCCTGGGAGAAGGGGACATGGAACACTGGGATCAGCTGCAGTCTCCCTGTCCCACAGTGCCCTGTGGGGGGTGGCCACATGGCAGTCATATGGCCTCCACCACTGTTGTAACACACAACCACAAGCTGATTTCTGCACCCCAGACATCCTCGTGGTTGGCTAATCCTGCACAGACAGTCCAGAGGGGAACACACAGGTCCTCCTTGTTCAGAGCTGTTCTGGACTGCAGCTTCCTCCAACAAGCCTTTAATTGTCCCCCTGCCCACTGGCATACTGAAAAGGTGGTGACATCCCTTTCTCACCTATTTGTTGCAGAGACACTGCTCAATAAAGAGCAAGAACTTTCTCTTTCCTACCCTTAGCAGCACTCAGGTTAAGCTGCTTCCCTGTTACATCCCAGATGCAGCTTTAATACAGAGAGTGAGGCATGTGAGGCTTTTTTACTTCTCCAAGGGCCAGGTGGACAGGCTATGTCTATGTCCTGACAAACTACAAATTGAGATGAAACAACACCATCACCATAAAATGCTACTTTACCATCAGATTCTGAGAGCTCAACAATAATTATTGCCATCTGTGTGATCCACTCAACACCAAAATATGATACATAATTACTTCCACACATTAGCATTAACACATTGGCCTTGATCTACAACATAAGAGCCCACTTTGCACTCTGCCCACACAGTAAAATAATAAAGCACAGAATTTAAAATATAGCATATTTCCTAGCTTTCACTGTGGACATATATTTGCTCAGAAACACTAATGTACTACCTGGACTAGCTTAATTCATTAGGTTAAGCAAAGTCACGTAGGAGAGCAAAACATCTGCTCTGAAAGGAAAGCATCCACACAGTAGCTTTTCCCAGATAATTGTTTGGAAACACCACAGCCACACGAAGTCACACTAGACCAGCTAGGCTGACTGCAGCGCCTTGATTAAATTTAGATGCAAATTTTTTATGTTAGTAGTTCAGCTGCACCAACAGATACATAGCACTAGTGTAACAGATTTATAAAAAATTAGCTTTTTTAGAGACATCACTCTAAACTAGACACTCCTGGAGTTCTTAAACAAAGCCCCTTTGAAAGCTCTTTTACAGTGCAAGAGGACAAAGATCAAGTTCCACTCTGACTGGCCAAAAAAGGAGCAGGGGGCGGGGTGGAAGGTGTTTAACAGAAGGAGAATGAAGAAAAAGAAAGCTTTTGCAGACAAATGCAAAGTTATAGCCCTGACTTCACTTTGCAGACATTAATAAATGTGTTTAAAATAAATATGTCCAATCCAGAGGGACCTGGACAGGCTGAAGAGGTGGGGGCATGTGAGCCTCATGAAGTTCAGCTGTACCTGGGTGGGGGCAATCCCAAGCACAAACACAGGCTGGGTGGAGAATGGATGGAAAGCAGTCCTGGGAAGGATTTGGTTAGATGGATATTGGGAAGAAATTCTTCCCTGTGAGGTTGGGCAGGCCCTGGCACAGGGTGCCCAGAGAAGCTGTGGGCTGCCCCATCTCTGGAATTGTTCAAGGCCAGGCTGGATGGGGCTTCGAGCAAATTGGGATAGTGGAAGGTGTTCCTGCCCATGGCAGGGGGTTGGAACAGGCTGATCTTTAAGTTCCTTCCAACTCAAACCATTCTGCAATTCTATCACTTTTTTACATCTACTTCTGCAAAAGCAGAACAAATTAGAGGCTCCCAGGGTGGGTTCAGAGACCACCTGTAGCTGCAGGAAGGCAGTTCAAGGACAAGACTTACCAAAGGTTTTTGATTTATGGGTTAGAGTGCTGCTTCTGCAGAGCTGAAGTTGTGTTAGCTTAGGCTTAACAAAATCAAACCTCCTGCAGAACAAGCCTGGGCTCTCAGAAAAAGATACTCAAACACTTCACTGCTTGTCCCCTCCAATTTCTTTGTGCTGCTCCACATGTTTGTGAGCAGAGCAGAGGACATTCAGTGTCATCAGTTCCCTGATCCAGTTTGATATGAGATCCTTCAAGTTTACGAGGCAGCAGAACTGTCTCAAAACCAGACTGTCCAAAGCCACAGCCCCTATCTCCCCTCAGCCTCTGCCAGCACTTCTCTTTGTGTGGCTATAGCAAAAAGGCAACAGTGGCACCAACCAAAGATGTTCAACATGGGAAACAAGGAGCTGTCCCCTGCCTAGTATTAAGAAACATCTCTTAGCCACCCCAAAACCCCAGGGAAACCCCTGATTACACTTTGAGTCCATGTGGTGGAAGTGGTGGGAAGCATCACCATGCTGCTGCCTCCTCCTCAAAGGCAGGGCTCTCACTCTGTTACAGAAGAAGGTGAACTCATGATTTGCCATCAATTCAGGTTCTTATTCACTCACACCAATTGTTCACTGCTAAAATTTAGGCTCTCCTGATAGACCCACACCAGACTGTTCAAACCCACTGAACAGTCCTACGTCTCTCAGCTTCCCCTCATAGAAAGGAGAAGCTGTGGTCCTTTAATCATCTTCTCTGACTCTGCTCTGGTAATCTGAGCCTGCAGCAAGCCCCAGGAAAGGTGTGGGTGCCAGGGTATAGCAATGTGCCATTCTGTGGGGATGTGACACACAGACAGACCAGCCAGCTGCCAGAGGGAAGGTATGCAATCCTTCCTCCCTTCCCCAGAAATATGGGTTTTTCCACAGAATGATAATAACTTCAGAAAAAAATAAAATGCCCAGGAATGAGTAGATCACTTGGACAGATACTGATGGGCTTCAGAAAACAGAGGCCCATTATTTCAGAATTGTACGTTTGCATATTATGAGCTTTAACTGTGCAGCCTTTGGCTGAAACTCATCAACCAAAAGACAGGTGGAATTAGAGTTGTGTCAAATCTAAAGCCTGTGCAACAACCTCAGCATAAGGCTTCCCTTGAGGAATCAGCACTAAGGATGTTCAGCAGTATCCTCCAACAACCAGAGAGAGAAGTGTAAGAGACACTACAGCAAAATAAAGCACGAAAACAAGCTGTAAACAAAATAGCCACTTCAAACACGTCCCCACCTTTTCCAAGGTCATCAGGGCCAGGTGCTGGTGAACACTTCATTTCAAGGTCAGTGTGTACTCACGTGAGGCAAACCAGTGCCCTGACACGGTGCTGCAGCTGCCCACCATACCTGTGTTTTTCGGCCCGTCTGCGTACACCGGTCCTGGCGGTGGTGGAGGTGCGTTCTGCCATCCGTACTGGGGATATCCCTGGTAGCCTGGCTGGCCTGGCTGGTAGGGCCCGGGGGGATAGCCGGGGTAGGGGCCAGGGGGGCCCCCTGGCTGCTGTGCATAGGGTGGGTACGGGGCAGTCGGGCCCGGGCCGGGGTACGGTGGAGGATTATCGTAGCTCATGTGGGATGCAGAATCTGCCCTGCAAAAGAGGGAAACAAACAGGACAACTGGTTTGCTTTTGTCTGCTCATCCGTGACCATACGAGTTCCATGTCAGACTGCTCTCCAAAGGCCCTATGCTGTGTGAGGAACAGACTTCAAAATACCTAGTCAAGCAGCAAATTTAATTTTAACCCTATCACAGGGCAGGGGCATGGAAGGAGTTGAAGTGATTTTTCTGAGTGACACAACTTTAGCTGAGCAGGAGTAACATGCTGCTTTCCAGTCCTGCATCAGCTATTCACCCTAAGACCTAATTTTTGCAGCCGCAAAGCAAAAACCTCTGCTTCCACTCATTATTAAAACGCTTTTAAGAGAGATTCAGAAGTGATTACTTCATGTTTCTGTCAATATCTGAAAGGAAAACGACGGAAAAGTGCTGCCTGTTCCAGGCATAGCTTTGACAGGAGAAGGAGTGAACTCAAATGTCCATTACAGTTCTGTTAAAGCCTCCAGACCACTGTGGAGCAAGGCTGTATGTGAATAATTTCCTGATAACACTGTACCCCAGCACGTTGTGTAGTTTTCCAGCCATAAAAAATTGAATCATTAAGCACCCACAAAAAAATAGGGCCTTGGGCTCAGCCTCATTCAAAAAGCAACATTAAAAACACCTTGGAGAGTTGATGCTCATAAAACCCATGTCATGTATTACTCATGGCACAGCCATCAGAAGACAAGACTGTCACAATACTGCAATTTTAATGAACCTCTAAGCAGCATGACTAAGCAAACCATTTCTTACATTAGGCTCCTGAAGCTTCTCCCTGTCTGAGAAACAGAAGTGTATGTTAATATCCTACAAATTCAGGAACCTTCCTGCCTGAAGCAGCTGTACCCTGCTATTTCCTTCCCCTATTACAGGGTGCAGACAGATCACCAGTTCCCCTTTGCTACACACCTCCTCCCACATGCTACAGGGAGAAATACCAGGAGCTTACTTTGCTTCGGCCAGGCTTGCTGCTGCTGGCTTGCAGTGGGAGAGGCTGGCCAGCAGATCAGGATCCCCTTTGGATGGGCACTGCGCTCCCACTCTGGGGCCGGGCAGCAGAACCAGGGGCTGCGCTCAGCTGCCGCAGTCCCCGGCAGCGTGGAAGGAGCTGCTTGTTTCCAGCCTGCTAAACCGCCTGGGAGTCCCTCCCCGAGGAAGGATCCCAAGCTCCCGCTTGTTTACATGCTGCTCCTGCCCTGGGGGACACCGAGAAGCCCTCGAGGCTCACAGGCTGCAGCTGTCACTCACCTGAATCCATCCTAGAGCTCCTCTTGCTGTGCCAGGCATAGTCACAGCATCACAAACATGCTGAGTTGGACAAGGACCATCCAGTTGAACCCTGGCTCTGCACAGACACCCCAACAATCCCAGCCTGTGCCTGAGAGCATTGTCCAAGAGATCCTGGAGCTCTGGCAGCCTTGGGGCTGTGACCATTCCTTGTTCAGTGCCCCCTGTACCCTCTGGATGAAATACCTTCTGATATCCAGCCTAACCCTGTACCCTCTGGATGAAATACCTTCTGATATCCAGCCTAACCCTGCCCTGACACAGCTCTAGCCATTCCTTGGGTCCTGTCACTGGTCACAGAGTGAAGAGATCAGTGTCTGTCCCTCCTCTTCCCCTCAAAAAGAAGTTGTCCCAGCTAACTTCTAAGGCAGTGCTATACCCTGCAGACAATGTCTTTTAATGGCTTTGTCAAGAGTTTTAACTGCTTAACCAAATGCCAGGGATTACAGGAATTTTATTTACGGCTTGTTTTTTTATTCTCCACTGCTAGGCCAGCCAGACCACTTAACTGCTCACTTTAAAACTGACAAGCACAATATAAACTTAACTCAAGACTCTTTAACCACTGCACTGCAATGCAATGCCCCTACCAAGTCTCCAGCAATGAAATTCTTCCTTCAGGGAGGCAGGGAAAGGCAGGCAGCAAGCCCTCACTTCAGTGCAGTCAATTAGTGAACTGGGACATACCAGGCCACTAACGCTCATCTAACCCAGAAAATTGTCCCAAAATAACATCCAAAAACAAGTTTCCAGGGAAGAACAAGGCCAGAGTGAGTGTGTGTGTGTGTACCCAGAGACCACTGCATGTTGCAGAGTAACCATTTGGTGCCCAGACATGGCCCAGCCAACCCTGTGAAGCCCTGGTTTGCTCAGCCTCCCTGACCCACTCTACAGAGCAGTAAACTGCCTCCTGCACCATCAAGGTGACTGCAGCAGGTCACCCTCCTGAATTTAGGGATGCACCAAACCAGGGAGGTGGCATGTGGGAATGCCCTGTTCCAGATCAAAGAGCTCCAGCCTCTCCTTGGGCAGGGGATGACCTCTCCCTCCATGTCCCCCTTCTCTGTTCAAGGGTGTAATTTCACACCCTAGGTATAAATACATGTGTTTTTATATACACACACACGGCATTCAAAGGCAGCAAACAACAGACCATGTTTTGCTCATAAATCTTAAGAACTCCCTGGGCTTAGCTTGCTTCGATGAGCACTGTCCAGCTCCTGCAGATGCACCTGGATCTCTTCAGTTTTTCAAAGTCCTTGTGCCCAAGAGGATGATCAACTCATCCCACCCTTTCCAGTGAAGGGCAGTCTTCCCTTCTGTCCTTTCATATGCATAAATTTATCTATATTCAATATCAGTGGTATTTTAGTGCTGAAGCAAGGTTTAACAGATGCTGTGATTCTTCAGCTGGCTGTGAACTCAAATTCATGTCAGCAAATAACCAGCTCAGCCATTCCACTGCTCCTCTACCACGGGGACTCATGCTGGAACCACTGGGGGCCACATTTCTCCATCAGGACTGGCTATTTACTCCCTTTGGTAGCCAAGCAGGGAGCCTGCCTGGCCTCTGTGCGAGCACCCAGCACAGGAACTTGGCAGAATCCCTTTGGAGCCAGTGGAACCACACAGGTAACAAAGCAGCTCTGCAGAAAGGGCTGACATGGGGATCAGGTGTACCTGGTAAAACTCAGAAACCCCTGAAAGAGTGTGGCAAGAAGAGAGCCTGGTTAAAACCTACAGACATGGGGGGTGAACAAAAAAAACCTCCACATCAGCAGCTCTGCAGAAATGTCTGTGAAACGGTCAGGAGTTAAAAATTCCTGGCTAGAGCAAACAGGGAAGTGGCAGCATAGGGAACAAGAAAGAACTTCTCATGCTCTTTGTTTACCAGCTCCCTGTTAGCCATGTCAAAACAGTTTTTGAAGAGAAGGCAGGTTTGGAGTGGAGGCAGTAACTGAGATTCCATCTGCTGATATGGGAGAGGTACTGAGGGGAAAACTGGCCACAGCCTACTGACAGCTGTACAGATTCCTGGGCAGAGACAGCAGAACAACAGAACAGAGGAAAAGATGGAGATTAAGAAGAGCTGAGGGTAAAGTAACATAACTGAGATTAGGCAAGAGATAAAAGAGGGTGTACAGCATGAACACTTTCAGCAGCCATTGGGGATTTGTCTGTGATGAGTGAGGAAACTCCTGAAGAATTCATCAAGACAATCAGCAAACCCAGGTGGTAGCTGTGGAACCTAAATTCTCGGAAAGAATCTTTCCCCCAGTTTCACTGCCAGATTGCTACACATACACACATCCCTACTTGCTCTTTTTGAACCGTGTGACAGCACTGAGATTTCCTTCAGCCTCATGACCTCATACATGACTTTGCACACTTCCTAGCCCTATTTACTCACATGGGTATGTGTTTGCATGGCAGGGCTTTGAATCATGAAGCAGATACTTTTCAGAGACATACCTGAGCTCTTAGTCAAACGTATCACCAAACTTTGCTGTGGGTTCTCACCCCGACCAGTAATTCTGTGTGAGTTACAACCAGGACCAACCCCTGTGATGTTGCATCAGAACTGGGATCTGTGGCTTTCCTGGTCAGCACCTCTCAGAGGCAAAGCTCAAAAGAAAGAAGCCAACCATCAGTAAAGCCCTTTGCTTGCCATGGCACTGCAGGAGATCCAGCAGGAAGAGCCACTACAGAGCTCAATGGTCCCTGACAGCCTCACAAAGAGATTTCCTTGCAAACAGAGACTTCCTTGACTGTCACTAAGCATTGGCCCTGTCTGTTGCTGCTTAACAACAGAGAAATTGCTAATCCATCTGAAGAGAATGGCAAACCATGTTCCTACTCCTCTTCCCTACAAAAGTACTTAACATCAGTACTTTTGCTAAGGGGCAAGTTCATTGGTATATCATTTTTTCCTTAAGTTATATTCAAACTCCTTTGTTCCACACTGCTAAGTAAACATTATTTTCCCTACCCCAACAGCAGGATTTAATTTTTAAACAAGCTGCTTATTATACTCCATCCAGAAGGATTTTGACCATTGCTCAAAAGGTCTGCAAACCAGGAGTCTCTGAAGTATGGTTTTGTATAGAAAATGCACATGACACCAGAGGAGCATGTACATACAGAGGTACCAACAGGCAAGAACCACCATCCTATGGGAGAATATGAGTCCCTCTACAGCAGTAACCTGGCTAAGGCTTAGCAAAAGGTGCAAGTACAGAACTATAATACTTTGCATTCACTACATGCATATATATATTTAGCTTGTCTATTTCGGCACCCAATCCTTAGAGAAACAAATTTCACCATTAGGCTTTGAAAAAACTTCTGATTGCTTCACACTTACTGCCTTGTACAAGGCCAGCAAACCAAGGCAGCTGCTACAGAGCTAGTCATTGCTCCTGATCCTCCTCTTCCAGCACACTCATGAATTTATTATATTTTTCTTTCTTCAGGCATCTCTTCTGAGCTGCAGACTGTTTCAACAGAGCCTGCAACGTTCCTTGATTATTCTTTCCAGCCATTGCTGTGCCTTTTAGCATCACATTTGTCTAGGAGGAAGCAGGCAGACTCTCTCTGCACAGTGCCACAGCTGTCTCCTGCTTCCCACCCCTTTCCCAGCCCACTCCCAGGGCAGCTCTTGCCATCCATCAAGCTAAAAACAGAGCTCAAGTTGCACTGTATGTAATTGCAACTGCGAGATCCTTCCAAGTGGGAATAGCTCCTGTAGAGCCTGTCACTGCACACGTACAGCTCACCCCACTGCTCACCCAAGTGACAACACACAGTCTCTGAAAACAGCCTCGGTTTCAACCTGGGGAAGTCTCACCATCCACAAATACCCACATCTAAAACTAGGAGAAAAATGTCAGGAAGCCTAATTTAGATGGCTTTTGGCTACGTCACTCCATAAGTGCAGCCCTATGGCCCAGCCTGGGGGCCTGGACAGGGAGGACTTCTGGTCAGGAGGTAACATGATGCATGAAAACAACCAAGAATGAAGAGAATAAGAGAACGCTTTTCTGTTAGCACAAGGGGTGCCCAAACAAAGACCCCTCAGAGCCTGCCAAGATGACCCAGTTTCACCCTTTTCCCCCCTCCAAAAGGCCACGTACAAGGCTGGTGCTCCCAAACATCTCTTGAGGTCAGACTAATTATGGCCACCATAATTATGGCCCAAATGATGGGAGAGCAGTAGGAATCTGCTTCGACCTGTTGGCACCTTGTGACCTTGGCAAAACTGAGGAGAGCACGCATAAAACCATCTGCATTTGTACACAGTAGATGTCCACAGCTACTAATCCACCTGCAAAGAAACACCCGTCACTATGGACTGCAAGTCAGATCCTTCAAATGCAATCTCCAGTGCAGGTGAATCCATTAAATAAAGAACTGTGCATGTGAGGTGAGAGGATATTCTAACCAGGGTGCTGAAACAGGGTGAAACACCTTCTCTTGCATAAGGAACAGTGCAAGAAACATCCTTATGAAAGCAAATGGGGGATTAGTAAATTAAACAAACAAACAAACAAACCAAAGAAAATTAGCAGTCTGGAACACAGAAGAAAATTCCCCACAACAACCCAAAAGCAATTAGCAGATTTCTGGAATTTAAAGGTGAGAAGTTGCTTGTTTTTAGGACAGCAGAATAAGCATTGCACCTCGTGCTGCTGTGGTCAGGAGGAATCACGTTTTGGGTATGGCAGGTATTGATTCAGCTGGTCTTTGCAGAGATGAAGATGGAGGGCACGGTGAGAGGCCAGAGCCTGAGAAGGACAACTGGGGCATCCAGATATAACCCACCCCTTCCAGTGCCTGCAGCGCTAGGAAGCAGTTTTCCAATACAGAGGTCTAATGGAAAGTACATTTAACATCAACAATCCAGCTCCTGGCAACCTGCCTAGCATTTAAATTACATTTCATATGAACAGTAGCCAAATGAAAAAGAGCACAAGTGGCTTTTAAATGGCATTGGCCCCGTGTTTCCCTCTTACCAGCTTATTTGTCAGCTCCATTTAGTGATTGTATGAAAGCTATTGTAAGAGATTCCATTCTTGCTCAGTTTGCTTCCAGGAAAAGCTTCCTCCCTGGTTTGCCCTCCCACTTCACCAGGTAGCTCCATCAGCCTAGACTAACAGGTGAGGGGGAACAAGAGCTGCCCCCACTTTTTCTGACAAATGCTGTTTGAAACCACTTTAATTTCCAAAATGCAGGTCTAGGCAAAAGCAAAAAGCCCAGTTTTGTTCTGGAAAAGGAAAAGCTAAAACCTACTTCTCTGTTCAAGCCCATTTCCTTAGGAGGTGTCCTGGACTCCAGGACATTCACAGGCCTTAGGAAGAGGGGCATTTTTTCATGTTTAGTTGAGTGGCTGTCAGACATCTCCTGCACAAAACAACTGCTGCTGCTCATGTGGCTGAAGCACTGGATCAGGCAGCTCTGTGCACTGAACAGTGGTTTGGATGAACAAGCATTTAACCTTCCTGAGCCAGGTATTCCCTCCTCATGGTGTCCTCCAAGCCCTCCAGAGATCTGAAATCTGCCCATGTGTGAAAATAGAAAGTGCAAATGATGTTTGACGCTGATGCTGCTGTCTCTACAAACTGTCCCAGCTCCCCAGTCCCATTGCCTGCCCTGCCTTCTTGGCAAAACCACAATGGATATGCACATTTCCAGGTGACTTTGGTTTCAGAAACCAGGATTTGATCAGTGCTAAAGGGCTGCCGTGCTGACAATTTTTGCCTCAGAGGCAACATCCCTTGTGGAGCTTCACAGTCATAGATCTCCACAGAGCTCTTACCAATGCACCCTCACACCCACACAGGACTGCATGCTAGGATTTTCCTTCTTCAGACAAATTTCAATGTCTCATCAATTGTTATCAACCACAAACCTCTTCAGATGTGATGCTACACATCACTTACTGCCTACCCACTGTCTACCTACATGTTCTGCATGGCAGAAGGAAAGTATGAAGCTGACATTGTTCCTACAATAAAACATTAGTGGGGAAAAAAAATCCAAATCAAATGCCCTGCTACTGTTATTACGTGAACTGTAACTTTATGGGGAGGAAATTGTCCAGTTTTTCAACATCTTTTTCAACATCTAATGACAGGTTTTAGAAAATCTTTAGATTAAATATACTTTAACACCAGGAACTAACAATTACAAAGCTGGAAAGCATCACTTGACAGCCCCTCAGGTGGTGTCAGCCATGGTACTTGTTGCTGACACACCAGGCGAGACTCTGCCCATGTACAACAGTGCCTGTGGCAAAACACACCAAAAAGCAAAGTCCTTTACAGAAATAATTTTAGAGAGAAGCATCAACATCTTGATTTCAGGTTTTGAATGGTTTTGCATGCACTGCTCTTGTTCAAGTCTTTGTATAATGCATTGCCTTAGATAATTCCTGGAATACACAACTATAGTTTGCTGTTAAAGTGGTGTACTGACTGTTTTAAGGTGCAACAAATACCAAACCAACAAAAAACTCAATGAAAACATCTGATTGCCAGGTAAAACTAGACCTGCAAATAACAGTTAAAGCAAGCAGCTTTGTTGGTCTGAGAAGAGAACGTGAAACAAACAGTTTGACTGGCAAGAAAATTAGTAAGCACAGATTTGTATGTTATTCAGATGGTGTTCTGGCAGCATTCCAGCCATGGAACAGCAGCAGTCTTTCAGGATAACTTCCCCAGCTCTGAAACACTAGTGGATTAAGTGGGATATACCACCCAGAGCATGATGATTTTCTAACACTTCACGCAGAAGCACACTGGTAGCAGCACACAGCTCCCAAGGCAGGCTGTGTTGCTGTGTGCAGAAAGAAATACAGGCATTTTCTACAGCTGAGATCTCATTACTCAGAAAAAGATTTCCATAATAAGCTGGAAAATGGAATGACACTGAGATTTTTCCACCCACCTCAATGTTTTCTCACTTTTTCTGCTTTTCCACATCTTTCATGTGGCTCTAACATGATGCTTTACTTTGCCTGTAGGGCATATGCAAAAATCATCTTTAATGTCTGCTTGTCACAGGCTGCTCCCACATTCTCCCAGTGGTCACCAAACCAAGAAAGCCTTTGCCTTACCCTGTCAGGGGCTGAAAATCTTCCACACCTCAGAGGACTGCCCTCAGTAGCTGGTAAGACCAAATAATACCTCAAGAATACATTATAATCCTAGCGTGGAAATCTCCCTCTCTGATATTTCACTGACAGAAACAGCAGTTTTTATTCAGCACAAGGAATACAACAGACCAGCTGCTTCCAAGGAGGTCCATTTCCCAAAGCTGTGGGCAGGCACTGGAGCACAGCACTGCTCCCACCCAGGACAAGGTGGTGATGGCAATTCCACACAAGGGGATCCCATCTAGAAGAGCTCCTAGGATACAGCTGTGAGGGTAGCCCAGCATTTGCCTGCCCCTCAGCAGGGGTGAGGCCAAGCACTTCACCAGGAATGCTGGGGAAGGCAGCCTCTCCCACGCTGGGCTGAGCGGGCTCCGAGGCTCCCGGGCTGCTGCCGGCAGGATGCCAAGCCTGGCAATACTGACCGTCTGCTTGAATGACTCGTGCTCCTTTCTATCTTCCCCTCTTCCCAGAAATGACAGTGCTATTTTCTACTCATTGAGCCATGGAGTTTGAGGTCAGCAGCAGGAAGCTGAAAAAGGCAGGATACGCAACCCAGAGAGTAGAAAATATCAATACTGACAGCAGAGAATGAGTGAATCTGCCCATTCAAGGCTCCAGCTCCCACGAGAAATTTTCAGGAAACCCGGACAAGCTTCCAGCCGTGCCACAGAGAGATCACAAACAGGGGACAGGAGAAATGCAGACTTGTTTCTTGAACATCCAGAGTTACACAAACTTGCTCTAGCCTCATAGAAAAAAAAAAACAAAAACAGGTAACATATTCATCTAATCCTGCACAGAAGTATCCCAGAACAGGCAGCTCCTCTGTTTATGGCATACAAACAAAGACCTCCAGGTACTTCTCTGTTATCCCAGGGCAATGCTACAGGAACATCTCTGCTTACACTCACCAAACACCTCTGGTTTTCTGAGCAGCAAACCACCAGCAGTTTTAAATGTAGCATGGACCTGGGGGGCACAGGGCAGCAGAACAGCCGAGCTCTGCTCTGACACCAGGGCACCGCCTCGCAGGGTCTGCTCAGACACACAGAGCCCCCACCCTTGTCAGAGCCACTCCTTTACAGGACAGTCTTCTCTTCGACCTCTGCTGCAAGGACACCCACCAGCCTCTCCAGATTTTCACTTACAGCTCTCACACCATTTGGGGAATGACAAATCAGTATTTAACAAAGATGGCCTTTATAGCATGTGGATAAAGGGAAGAGTGCAGCAGACTTTGTGCTGCAGAAGTTCCTGTGCTTGGTAAAACCACTATTCTGCGCAGTAGAAGATTATTATCTAACATGCACATTAATCCCTGACTGTCCCCAAAAAGCACTGAAATACGACTGGAAAAATTTATAAAGTCCCAGTGTTTTCAGCCTCCTCCTCAGTCTACCTGATAGTAATATTATTATTATCATCATCAAAAACTTCTAGGAAGAGTCACTTATTATTTAAGCAACTGATGAGAAACCCCATTGCTAGCACAGCAGCACTTCCCACACCTTGTATCCTATCACTGTATTTACACAGCACAAGGAGAAGGCAGCTGCTCAGCACAGTCATTATAACTCACCCACACTCAGTACCTTTACCCAGACTTACCCTATTTACAGTCAGGTTGTTCACACACGTCTCGTAGTACAGGCACACAAAGCACCTCTTTTTCTTCCTTTCAGATAAAGCTAAACCCGAAGCTGGGATGAGTGGGACAGGTCTTGGCAGTAGCCTGGACAGAGCGGGGCTGCCCACTGCCGTCAGAAGGGCTGGCACATCCATGCGGCAGAGACAGGAGACAAATGCACTCCTTCCCTCATTCTCCTATTTCACCATGACATTTAATTATCCAAATGAGGCGTCCTCAGCTATGGAACAGACAGCACAAATCCAGGACAACCATAGTGGCTTTAAAACACACGATGCAGCGCTATTATTTTCACTGCCATACCTCTTGCTCTACACGAAGTAAGCCTCAGCATCAGTGCCACCCGTGCCCACGCGGGACCGCGCTCAGCCTCAGCCGGGCAGGGCAGTGCTGGGAGCCCCGGCCCCGCTCCGCTGCCAGCCCGGAGGGGCTGGGGCAGCCTCCGGGCAGAGCCCGCACGGCCGGGGCTGCGGGCAGGGCGGGACCCCGGGCCGGGCAGGGGCAGCGGGCCCCTCCGCCGTCACCCACCGCGGGCTCCCGGAGACGGGACGGCTCCGGCCCTTCACCCCGGGGTGCCTTCCTCCTCATCCTCCTCATCCTCCTCATCAGCCCAGCCCGGCCCCGCTCCCCCGACCCGCCGCCGAGCCCGGCCCGGCCCGGCCCCTCACGGAGCCCCGGTACCTGCGCCCTGCGCGTCTCGCGCCGCCACCCGCACCTGCTGCGCACCCCGCCGCACGGTGACGTCACGGGGACAGACCACGCCCCCTCACACGTCACGACACTGGCCCCGCCCCCAAGGGGCGCGGCCACCATGGAGGCGTGGCCGGAGGGGCGGCCCCGGGCCCTGTCCCCGTCACTGTCCCCGTCACTGTCCCTGTCACTGTCCCTGTCCCTGTCACTGCCCCTGTCCCTGGCGTTGTCCCTGTCTCAGCTTCTGCACTTGTTTCTGTCCCTGTCCCAACTATTGTCCCATCCCTCCCCTGTCCTGCTCTTGTCCCTGCCCCACTCGTTGTCCCTGTTCCAGTTACTGCCCTTGTCTCTCTCCCTGCACCTCTCTGTGCCCCGTCACAGAGACAGCTACGGCCCTTGTCTCTGCCCTTGTCTCTGTCCTTGTCTCTGTCCGTGCCCCGTTCCTGCCCTGTCCCAGCTACTGCCACCGTTCCTGTCCCAGCCCCATCCCTGTTCGTGCCTCCATTCCTGCTCCTGTCCCTGCCCCAGCTGCTGCCGCTGCCCCTGTTCCTCCCCATGCCCCTGTTCCTGTCCATGTCCCTGTTCATGTCCCTGTTCCTCTCAATGTCCCTGTTCCTCCCCATGTCCCTGTTCCTCTCTCTCCATGCCCCTGTTCCTCCCCATGTCCCTGTTCCTCCCCATGTCCCTGTTCCTCTCTCTCCATGCCCCTGTTCCTCCCCATGTCCCTGTTCCTCCCCACGCCCCTGTTCCTCCCCACGCCCCTATTCCTCCCCATGCCCCTGTTCCTCCCCATGTCCCCGTTCCTCCCCATGTCCCCGTTCCTCCCCATGCCCCTGTTCCCCCCCATGTCCCTGTTCGTCCCCATGTCCCTGTTCCTCCCCATGTCCCTGTTCCTCCCCATGCCCCTGTTCCTCCCCATGCCCTGTTCCTCTCCATGCCCCTGTTCCTCCCCATGTCCCTGTTCCTCTCCATGTCCCTGTTCCTCCCCATGTCCCTGTTCCTCCCCATGCCCCTGTTCGCCCCCGTGTCCCTGTTCCTCCCCATGCCCCTGTTCCTCTCCATGCCCTGTTCCTCTCCATGCCCTGTTCCTCCCCATGCCCCTGTTCCTCCCAGTGTCCCTGTTCCTCCCCGTGTCCCTGTTCCTCCCCATGCCCCTGTCCCTCTCCATGCCCCTGTCCGTGCCCCGGTCACTGTGCCCGGCCGGGCAGTGGAGCCTGGAGCTGGGAAGGACGCGCTCCGGCCGTGCCCGTGGGCAGGAGCGGTCCCGCAGTGCCCCTGAGCGGGGCTGGACGGGCTGAAGCCGAGGAGGGACGGCGGGGCAGGGTGGGCACGGGGGGCAGCCTCAGCCTGCTCGGGACCGGGGCCAGCAGCAGCGGCACCCGGAGAGCCTCGGCCCCACCAGGGACCCCCGGGCATGGCAGGGGCTGGGCTGCGCCCCACAGCCGCCCCACAGCCGCTCTGGCTCCCCTGCCCTGCGGGGGCTGGAAGGGACACCTGGCTGGCGAGCGGGACCTTTGCACGGGCGCTGTCGCCTTCTGCTGATAACGGGACTCGTGCGTAGGAGAAGGTCCAAGCACAGAGCCTGGGAAAGCAGTTATGGGTTTGCCCAGATAAAACAGGTCAAGGACACGGGTTGGAGCGCTCAGTCACCATCCCTGCCCCTGGCACATGACCGTGACTCACCGTGGTGGCCGCCTGTGGAGGGATGCTGTGCCCAGGGGGTGTGTGGTGGACTTGGGGACCCTGGTGGGAATGTGGCTGGGGACCTTGGTGGTCTCCAGGGAGTGGAGCAGCATGATCCTGCTCCTGTGCTGCCATGCATGCTGAAATCAGCTTCTTCTTCCCCACCATCGATTAGTAGATCTAATCAGGCCAGCTTAATGCTGGGTCCCTAATGAGGCTCAGCCAGGAAGAAATTATTTAAATTAGTTACATGACATGCTATATTCTTGGGCGAGAGAAAAACAGGATACGCAGCTACCCCTGCTCTGTCTGAAGAACTCAGCCAGCACCCGAAGTGTATCCCAAATGAAACCTGCTGGCTGATGGGAGGTGTGGGAGACATTCGAGGGTCCTGCCAGGGCACCAAGAGGAGGCTGCAGTTCCCTGGATGTAGGCAGTGAAGCCCCCCAGTCTCATCTCCCAGGTGTGCTGCTCTCCTCACACAGAATCACAGACTCATTTAAGCTGGAAAAGGCCTCTGAGATCACTGAATTCAATCATTCCTCCAGCACTGTCAAGGCCACCAGTAAACTGTGTCCTCCAAGTGCCATATCTACATGCCTGTTAAACCCTCCAAGGATGGTGACCCCACCACTGCTGTGGGCAGCCTGTTCCAATGCCTGACTGCCCTTCTGGTGAAGATATTTTCCCCAATATCCAGCCTAAACCTCCCCTCTCATCCTGTCATTTGTTGCCTGGGGGAAGAGGCCAACTCCCTCCTTGCTACAATCTCCTGTCAGGGAGCTGTAGAGTGGGAGAAGGACCCCCCTGAGCTTCCTTTTCTTCAGGCTGAGCCCCCCAAACTCTCTCAGCTGCTCCTCATCAGACCTGTGCTTCAGACCCTTCTCCATCTCCATTCCCTTCTCCAGACATGCTGCAGCACCCCAACATCTAGCAGAGCCTCCCAGGAGGCAGTTTGCTCCACAGAGTGGGGAAAAACCCGACCAACCAGCCAAAACAATCCTCAGGAGCATTTTGTGCCACAGTAGTGTGTCCATGAGAAGGGTGTGAGGAAGGGAAGGGCTGGCATGGAGGAGCCAGGGGAAGGCACTGCACACACGGGCACGAGCTGGGGCTGCTGCTCCACTTCCCTGCAGCTGCAGACAATTCCATCCCACTCAGCTTCCTCACCCTAGATGTCATTTCCATACACCTTTGGAAACGAAGCTGCCCAGCCAGGACCTCACAGCAGAAGCGATATACATTGTTCTGCTGAGCAGCACTGAACTTGTCCTGGTCCTTGACTCCAGTGCCAGTGGGCACACATTGTTGTCCTGTTAACCATTAACTGGGAAAACAGCTTGAACAACATTGCTTGGCTTCATTAAAAACTTCAAAGGACACTTCATACTTACATATCCTTATGAGCAGTTTGCACATACTTTAAATACTAATGCAGGCCAGGTTTATGGCTCCTATGACCCCTCCAGCAGAAATTATACACTAATTTCTAGGTGTAGCTGTCTTTACCCTGGGAACAAGGCTGGTAGAGAATGCCATGCAACAAATTAGGACTTAGCTCCTACAGGGAGAAGACAAGCCAGCTCTCCTCTGGAAAAAGAAGAGGCAGGACACTGAGCAAGGTCATGTGGAAGGCACATTCACCCAGTTTCCATCAGGTGTGTTAGCACAACCCCAGAAGCCACCTGAGAGGTGTTGGAGAGCCCTGGAGGTGTTACACATGCCGAGCTGATGGGTTCACATGAGCTCCCAGGCAGGCTTCCCTGTGGTGTGCCTGCAGCTGAGGGCAGGGAACTCCTCAGATGCAGGAATGGAGTGGCTTGAAAATGGTGCCTGAGATTTTGGAGGACAGACCAGATTTTGCACCCTTTGCATTTCTACTAGTGTTCTTTTCCCTTTCTTTCTCCTGTTCCCTGACATGACCCACTGTTATTAGCAGATGTGGGAAGGGAGGTGTGAATCCTGTTTACTGGGAAGCCTGTGCTGCCTGGAAACTCTGGTTTAGCAACATTTATCTCCCCCCAAGCCCTCCCTGTGCCTGGCAAACTCAGCGGCTCCATAATCAAAGCTTTTGTCTTCATTGTTTACTTTTTTTCTTTCCGATTGCCTGAACAACACCAGCCAGAGGGAAGGAGGTGACCTTGCCAAGGACGAGGGCAGGAGCTGGACCTGGACAGCACAACAGGCTGTGGAGAGCAGGTGAGCAGGAACAGCAGAGTACAAGGCCACTGCAGTGGCTGCTTGCCCCCATTCCTGCTGGTTTCACACCTCTTTCCACACAGTAATTTGGTAAAGCCCGTTGCAAAAGCCTTGTGAAACACCCCACTGTCTTTGCAAGAGACTACAGGTTGCAGGCAGGGCCTTGTTGGTGGTTGGTTTTGGTGGAGGTGTCTACAGGGCAGAAGGGAGCAGGGAGGAATGTCCCTGTCCTTGTCTCTGTGACAGTGCCAGCTGAAGAGATCCTGCTGCATGCCCAGCCTCCCACCAGCCTGTGCCTTCCTTCCTACTGCGTGCAATGCCTCCACAAAAACACATTTAGAACCTTGTGAGCAGATCCAGGATCAATGTAACAGCTCAAAAGGAAAATGCTGCCTCAGAGGATAAAATTCCTGGATCTGCACTCTCTGTCCTGAAATCCCAAGCCCTGCCTGGGACAAAGGTCTTTCTTACCCACCACCTTCACTATTGGGAAATTTTCCTGACTTACTTCATCAAAATTCATGGTTTGAAAGTTCAGATCCGCAGTGATCTGGGGCGCAGATCTGTTGAACAGATTCAATGTCCCTTCACATCTGTCCAAGCTCATCTGGGTGGACCTAAGCCCTGCACTCTGAAAACTGGCTCTGTGAGAGAGAAGTGGTGGTTGTTCTTCCCTCCTTACTCAGGATGGGTTCTGCTGTGCCTCCCACTGATTTACAAAACCCTCCAAGTGCCCCTGGTCCTGTCTGCAGGTGAAATGGAGGGTTACTGGCAGCACCTCCCTCTCTGCCCTCCCCTCCTCAGGGCTGGGAAGCTCCATGTGCTGGAGCAGTGCAGGAAGCTGTCACACAGCTCCCTGTGCCCCCACCCAGGTCCTGCAGCTGATCTGCTCTTCTGCTCAAAGGTCCCAGGGCTTTGGTCATTCTGAAGGCTCAGGTTTCTGCTCTTCCTTACACTCAGTGTCCTTTGATCTTTGCCTGCTTCATGCTTATCTCTCTGTCCCACTCAGTAAAGTGAGATTTATGCTGGTAGATAAGATAGGAAGGCTGTTATATTTGGGTATGGGAAAATAAAACATTGTCAAGAGCCAGGCTGACCATGAATGGAAGGAAAACAGATCACCTGGCAAGGTCCAAGGCTCAAGGACCCCTTTACAAAGGTGCCTGTGCAGGGGAAGCCGGAGCCATCGCTCTCCTCCTGCTACACCAGGCTGAGAGAGGCTTGGGATACACCTCAAATCCATGGATGCTCCCTGCACTCCAGTGTGGCTGGTACAATTGGGATGTGCTCCATTGAATTTACAATGTTTAGCTGACTCCTGTGCTTGCCATGGGGGTCGCTTCCCTGACTGTATATTAGAGTCTAGTGCTCGTTAGTGGCTGCTTGTTGCTTTTACTGCTGCTCTGGTGCTTATCACCTCGCTGGATCATGCCTGGGAACACTGATAACAGCCATGAAGGGCCTGGGCTGGCAGGTGGCCAGGGCAGTGCTGCTGGGTCTGTGCTGGACAGGCTGGAACTCGGGTCTGAACCCGAGCTGAGGGGACTGAGAGTGTGAATGAGTCCAGCACGGAGCAGAGATCCATCGCAGGCCATGGAGGAACCCACGCCCCAGCAGGGGGGTGCCTGGAGGGAATGGCCTCTGTGGGGTCTGTGCTGGAGCAGGTTTGCTGCAGGACCTGTGAGCCCTTGGGAGAGCCAAGCTGGAGCAGCTGGTGAGGAACTGCAGCCCTGAGAAGGACCCATGCTGGAGAAATTCGGGGAGGGCTGTCTCCTGTAGGTCAGACCCCAGGCTCCAGCAGGGGCTGCTGTGTCCTGCTGCCTGTGGGGGACTGGGATGTGACCACACTAAGGGGGATCTGGCAGGAGCCCCTTGGTGAAGCCAGGCTGGGGACAAAGGCAGGAGTCCAGTGCAATGTTAAATCAGGTAACCTGTCTCAAAAGGACCAGGGATGGAGATTGCAATGGATCTGTAAATTGTTGTAAGCCACAATTTGAATTGTGTGTTTCAGGAATTACTAAAACAGGCACCATTCAAACCAAAGCAGGAGAAGCCTCCAAAGAAGCAGTGGCAAGGCAGCAGTGACCTGACCAGAGCTGCCTTTGGTGCCCAATAACTCTCCTCACCCAGTGCCTCTGCTGTCCTGAGTGACCACCAGGATAGATGGAGCTCAAAGCCATGGACTAAATGAATTAACAGGCATTTTGTTGATGCTATATAAACATTTTCCAGAGTGGTCCATAGACTAAGGGAATGATATCTGTGTGTTATATCAAAGAATGAAAAGAGGGGTGGTGGCTATTGAAGTTGTACTGAATAGTGTGGGACCTGGAATGGTGTAAAGGGTATGGAATATGAGGTGGAGTGGTCTGGGTTTGGCTGCAGTAGAGTTATTTTCTTCCCAGTGTGCTGTATTTTGTATTTGTGCTGACCACAGGGTTGATAACATGGAGATGTTTTTGTTATTGCTGAGCAGAGCTTGCACAGAGCCAAGGGCTTTTCTTCTTCTCATCCTGCCTTGCTGCCAAGGAAGTGGGTGTGTGGTGGAGCTGGGGAGGAGACAGGGGCAGGACAGGTGATCCCAACTGACCAAAGGGATATTCCATAGCATCTGTGCTTGGGGTGGCCACTGCAGAGTGGGGTGTGTGTGGAGGATGGCACGTGTCCCTGTGGATGCTCCACAGGCAGGTCAGGGGAGGGGAGAGGTGCAGGATGAGGCTCCAGCAGAGGTTTTACCTGCATGATGGCTGGGAAGGGGGACAGATGAGACAGAGGAAATTGTATAGTAGTGTTTTCAGTTTTCTGCTGCCAGTAGGCAAATCACCACCTTTACAGGAACTTACAGGAAAGATGGGGCAAGACTATTTACAAGAGCATGTAGTGACAAGAAAAGGGGCAGTGGGTCCAGATTCAAAGAGATTAGGTTTAGAGTAGATATCAGGAAAATATTTTTTGCTGTGAGGGTGGGCAGGCCCTGGCACAGGGTGCCCAGAGAAGCTGTGACTGCCCCAGGATCCCTGGAAGTGTCCAAGGCCAGGTTGGACATGGCTTGGAGCAACTTGGGATAGTGGAAGGTGTCCCTGCCCATGGCAGGGGGTGGGAGCTGGATGCCCTTCAAGGTCCCCTTCCAACCCAAACCATTCTGTGATTCTATGACCCTTTAGAGCAGAAAGCTGCAGGTGTCCTGTGGCACCCAGGAGCCCTTGGGTCCCACAAAGTAGATTGAAGAGAGCTGGAGAGAAGGCAAAAACATTAATGCTCTCATAGTAGTGCCTTGTGCTTCCTACAGAGCATTTTATCACAGGAATGCCAAGTGTTTTGCAAGATCTTAAATAATTAAGCCTTAGATCAGTGCCATGCAAGACAGAAATATCTCCCTTCCTCCTCAATTTCATCTGTCTGGGATGGCCCAGCTGGGAGCCAATGGAAAGGAAAGGGAAGGAAAGGGGAAAGGGAAGGAAAGGGGAAAAGGGAAAAGGGGAAAGGGAAAGGAAAGGGGAGGAAAGGGAAGGAAAGGAAAGGGGATGAAAGGAAAGGGGAGGAAAGGAAAGGAAAGGAAAGGAAAGGAAAGGGGAGGAAAGGGGAGGAAAGGGGAGGAAAGGGGAGGAAAGGAAAGGAAAGGGGAGGAAAGGAAAGGGGAGGAAAGGAAAGGGGAGGAAAGGAAAGGGGAGGAAAGGAAAGGGGAGGAAAGGAAAGGAAAGGAAAGGGGAGGAAAGGAAAGGGGAGGAAAGGGGAGGAAAGGGGAGGAAAGGGGAGGAAAGGGGAGGAAAGGGGAGGAAAGGGGAGGAAAGGGGAGGAAAGGGGAGGAAAGGGGAGGAAAGGGGAGGAAAGGGGAGGAAAGGGGAGGAAAGGGGAGGAAAGGGGAGGAAAGGGGAGGAAAGGGGAGGAAAGGGGAGGAAAGGGGAGGAAAGGGGAGGAAAGGGGAGGAAAGGGGAGGAAAGGGGAGGAAAGGGGAGGAAAGGAAAGGAAAGGAAAGGAAAGGAAAGGAAAGGAAAGGAAAGGAAAGGAAAGGAAAGGAAAGGAAAGGAAAGGAAAGGAAAGGAAAGGAAAGGAAAGGAAAGGAAAGGAAAGGAAAGGAAAGGAAAGGAAAGGAAAGGATTACCCGAAGCCCCACTGCTCAACATGCTCAGAGCAAATCCTGAGCTGGGGTTTCCCTGGGACACCCCCAGTTCTGCAGGAGGGATTTGAGGCTCTTCAACAGCAGTTCTCTACAGACCTTAATTTTGTTCAGGGTTTTGCTGTAATGATCCTGGGGTTTGGCCTCAGTCCTGGAAGAGCTGGGCATGGCCCACACCTGGAGAGCAATCCTCATCTGTCCAAGGGCTCTAAACTTCATGAGTGAGCTGCCTCAAGCCCTGTGACTGATGTTGGAGGCTCCTTGTGACATTAGCCAAGGGATTTGGACTCAAGCAATCCCATGGGATGCCCACATGATCTGCCTACAGCCCTTCTGCTGGCACTGCCCCACAGCCAGCCCTGCCCCATGGGACCTGCTGAAATCAGACCCTTGTAGAATTGTACCCTGGCCACTGGCAGGGCCCTTCCCTTGGACCTGTGAATCCCATTCCTGTGCTGTAAATCCCATGGCACAGCATGTGGGCATCTCTCCTTGTCATCAAGGGCTGTGCCAGCCCCTTCCCAGCCAGCCCCCCACTGCTGAGCACTGACCTTTTTGCAGATCCCTCAGCAGCAATTGAGCAGCTTGAGGGCACAGGAAAAGCCCACCTCTGTCTTTGTAGGTGTTCAGGTTTGTTTCCAGCTCTGGCTTTCCACATCCCAGCAGCAGGAACCAGGTAATTTCAGCCTTGGCTGCGCTGGAGGGATTTGGCTCAGCAGCTTCTGTGCTTGAATTCCCCTTTTCTGGTGGGAACAGCATTGCTGCTGTCTCACAGCTCTGGAAAAACCTCCTGCTGCTAAGACAGGCACAGAAAGGTGATGGAGGGAGGTGAAGGCTGAAATCACTCTAGGATGTATTCCAAGTAGCAGCTGAGCTTTGCATCTGCTGCTCCAGTCCTGTGGCTCCACAGCTGGGCAGGATCTGGAATTTAAACTTCCCAAGAAGAAATTTGGATGTGCAATCCTGACAGCATCCCACAGCCACAGGACCCCCTGTGCCCTGCTGGGACAGGTAAGGGGACAGGCCAGTTCTGCAGCAGTGCACTGGCACCCTCTAATGACACAGTTACGAATATTCGGGGACCTGGATCGTTCCTGCAGCCCATCCTGCCGTGCTGGAGCTGCCTGGAGCTCTGCTCACAGCTATTCTGGAGCCTTTGGTGGGGCAGGGCTGCCTCTTCTGCACCTGCTCTGCTCCAAACCCACCGCTCAGCTCCCCTTTGGTGCTGCAGTTTGGTGCACACTCAGGGAGGGTTTGTGGCTGTGCATTGATCTGCCAGGGGAGCTGCCAGCCAGTTCTCTGTTCCCCTCCCTCAGCCCCAGCAGCAAAGCCAGCTGTGACTGTCCCTGCACCACTGCACCAGGAGGGCTGGTGAGCCTGTGGCCAGCTCCTGGAAGCCCAGATTTGGCCACACTGCCCAGGCTGCCTCAGGAAGCCCCTTTATTCCCACTTGTGCTGCCTCAGGGACAAGGCACGTTTTGCCAGCTTGGTCACAAAGCTTCAATCTCTCCTTTCCAGCCCACTCTGGGGCAAAGCCAGGGAATGTGTCTCTGAAATGAGATCACAGGATCATGGAATGGTTTGAATTGAAAGAAGCATTAAAGCTGACCTTGTTCCACTCTCCTGCCATGGCAAGAACACCTTTCACTAGAGCAGGTTGCTTCAAGCCCTGTCCAATGGGACCTTGAACGCTTCCAGGGATGAGGCAGCCACAGCTTCTCTGGGCCTCACCACCCTCACAGGGGAGAATTTTCCCCCAATATCTAATCTAAATCTCTCCTCTCTTAGTTTAAAACCATTTTCCCATGCCCCATCACTCTGTGCCTCTGTAAAATATCACTCTCCTTCTTTTTTAGAAGCTCCCTTAAGTACTGGAAGGTGACAATGAGGCCTCAGCTCAGCTTCATCCCAAATGATGCTGAACCTGGTGAGAACCTGAGCTGCAGAATTGTCTTCTTGGTGACCTTGTGCCATGGCCAACAGTCTGGGTGTCCAGCCTGGGTTTCAGGCTTCAGCAAAACAGGGCAGGGAAGCCCAAGGGAGGGGAGGCTCCTCTCCAGCCTAGACCCTGCTGCCTGAGTCTGGGAGCCCAGTGCAGCTCAGTTTGCTCTGCAAGGACACTTTAGCCATGCTCAGCCACCTCACAGGACCTGCCACGATGGCAGGCAGCAGCTCTCTCAGCATGGAGAGGGCAAACACAGTCAGCTCTTCCCTGGAGGTTGTGCTGGTTGACAAAAGGCTGTGGTGCCCTGGAATTGAGGTTGGCCATTGGGAGCAGCAGGGCAGCCCCAGTGCTCTCCTGCCAAACTCGTGGCCAGCATCAGCATCTTTCAATGGAAAAAGGTGGGGAATGGCCCTGGGAAAACCAGGGTTGTGGATCTTGTACAAACAGGCCAATGTGATCCTGAACAGGGAATCAACAGGCTGGGCAGGGCCAGGGCCAAGAGCTCCCAGGGAAGCTTTGTCTCCTGTGACAGACGTGAGGACTGAGCTCTGGTCCATGTGCAGGCTGTCCCTCCTCTCCTGCAGGAGCTGCCCAGTGCTCTCATCCTCCCAGGAGATGTGCCCAAAACCTGCCCCCCTCGAGAGTGGGAGGTTGTGGGGAGGCTGGGCAAGGCTCTGGGGACCTACAAACAGGAGCAGAGGGGTAGGATGGGATGGGAATGGGGGTGAGATTGGAACAGAATGGGTATGGGATGGGGTGAGGGATAGGGAGGAGGATGTGAAAAGAGGGGAGTGGGATGGGAATGAGGTGGGGTTAGATGGGGTAGGGAAAGGGATGAGATAAAGATGGGGAGTGGGATCAGGATGGGGAGGAAAAGGGGAAGGGGGTGGGATAGAGGTGAGGAAGGCAAGGAATAGGATTGAGGTAGAACTTATAGACAGGGCTGAGGAATGGAGCTGTGATGGAGCTGGGGTGAAGAATGGAATGGAAAGGGGAAAAGAAAGAATCAGCTCTTGTTCAGAGAGCACACGCTCAGGCACCAGCTCACACCAGCTCAGCCACATTGGCCACAGCAGCTTTGGAGAGCACTGAATGCCTTTCTCTTCTGCTGCTGTCCCAAGGGGCTGTGCTGCTCTGCCAGCCAACTGTACCAGCAGGTTTTTATTTTACATTTATTTTCCTAATGGCTTGGGTGGCCTGAAAACTTGAGCAGTGAATTGTGACTACTCAAGATTGGGTAAAAATCCACACAATGGCTGTGCACTGCAGTGTGGCACCAGGGATGAGTCACTGAAATTGCAATTAGGAAAGAAAATAACAGTGGGTTTACAAGCTCCTTTCCAGGAGCATTGCATTTCTCTGGAATGACAATGGCCCCTTAGAGTGGTTTATGAGACACTGCTCCACATCAAAAAAATACATGGAACTGGAGGAAGTGGTAGCTGATATAAAACAGTTTAACAGTGAAGGGAGGGAGGAAAAATAGAATTCATTTTTACAGTGACAGCATAGGTGCTTTGGGAGGGGCTGTGGGGTGAGCAGAGGAAACCACAGCAAACCCCAGGGATGTGGGACAGTGGAGTTGTGCCCACATGAATTCATGCAGAAAGGGCACATGGGGAAGGAGGCCCTGGGAGTGACAGGGGTCCCACAGGTGTCCCCTCCTCAGCTTGCAGGCCCTTGCTGGAGAGAACCTCTCAGCAGCGTGCGGCAAACAAGGAAGATGCATCACCCTTGGATTGCTGGAGTCCTGGAAAGCAAAAGTCAATCTTTTGTTTGTCTCCCAAGAGCTTTATTTAGTCTTTTGTCTGAAAGGTACAGACTGCTTTGCAGTGAGCAGGAGGGTAAAGCACTGAGCAAAGAAGCTCCATTGGGAATGGGCACAGATGGAATCCTTGTGGCCTTGCACCAGCATCAGGTGTCAGCAAGTCCTGGGGAGAGGCTGACCACAGCCCCCCAGTCCGCATGGTGCCAGCAGCACTTCTGACTTCTGTTCCCTCTTTTTCCAGGCACCCCAGCTCCAGCAGGAAAGGCAGCAGCTCCCAGGGGCTCAGCCTGGCTCGGGCACAGGGACTCCGTGTGCATCCATCGGGCTTGGCTCCACTCCAAGGGCAGCAGCTGCACAAGAAACTCTGCAAAACCAGAGCCTTGGGGATCCTGGTCATCACCTCCACCCCGTGCAGAGACACAGCTGTGCCACCCACCCCAGGAGCAGGGCAGAGGAGAGCTGCTCCTCACCCCTCCAGGCCAGCAGCAGGCATCAGCCTGCTCTCACCTCTGGGCTCTGAACAGCCCTCATCTGCTTGGATTGCCATGTTTTTAATGCTTTAATTAAACACAGAGCTGTTCCAAGGTGGACACC